ACTTCCATTATATGACTGACAGACTGCTACGGTTAGAGTTAAAAATCTTCGTTTGTGTTCTACTGAAGAAACAAAGTCACCTACATCTTGGATGCCCTGGGGGTAAGCAGATAAACATCACATTTTCACTTTTGGGTGAACTATCCCTTTAAGATTGGTTTTGTGCTCCAGGGTCACATAAAGTCCATGTCGTATTTCACTCAAAAATCAAAAGAAAGAAATAAGAAATTATACTTTGCATAAATAAAATCATGATTACATTTTTTTTGCATGAGAAATTAAACCTATTTTTTTCCTTTATTCTCATTACCACACTGCAAATAGTGTTTAATTGTTCATTTTTTAATTGAATAAGAATCATTGAGATTAATAATTGAAAAAAGGAAAAAAAACAACAACTCATGATTATTTGTAATACAATAATAATAAGTATGATTTGATTAAAAACAAAACAAAACAACAACAAAATCATTAGATTATTTTTAATTAGAAAGGCTTTTTATATTTTTTTATTTAATTTTTTTAAAATTTTATTTATTTATTAATATTTTATTTAAAAAAATATGTTCTTATTTTTGGTATTATAATAATAAAAAATAATAAATTTTTATTTATTTAAGGTTCATTCATTCATGTGTTACATAATCATAATTTATTTAAATTTTTTTAAATAGTTTTTTTTCGTATTTTGTGCCATTTTTAAGAATGATTTCATTTGTTTAAAAAACAGGCTTCATGTTATTTAATATCATTTTGTATTACGTTAATGACATTTAAAAAAAAAAAAATAAGTAGGCTTTATTTTGTGTTTTTTATATTATCGTAGTAAGAATTATTTTATTTATTTTAGAAAAAATGCTTTATTTTATTTTATTTATGTATTAGTATGTTTTGCTGTGTCAAGTGGGCTTGTCAGGAATCTCAAGAATCAAAGATTTTTGAAATCATAAAAAAATCCACGCGTATCAGTCATGGAGGTTTTATTTCTGCGCTTTTCTCAGAGATGTTTGTGAAGGTATGGAGCACCTGGAGTCAAAGAAACTCCTGCACCGAGATCTCGCCGGACGCAACATCCTCGTGTCTGAAGACACCGTCGCCAAAGTCAGCGATTTTGGTCTGGCCAAGGTCAGTTCAACGGCAACCGACAACTCAAAGTTACCCGTCAAGTGGACGGCGCCCGAAGCCTTGAAGAA